GACTTGGGGGAGGGGGAGAGAGGCTGCTCTGGCAGAGGGAACAGCAGCAATCCTGGCTAATTAGGGGCAGCTGAGACAGACGCTGCAACACAGTTAAGGGCCAGGTGAAGCTGATTGGGGTTGCCACACGGCCTCTTTAAAAACCCTCCCTGAGCGAGAGAGCAGGGGGGAGTGGGAGTGGGGAGAGGAGGAAACAATCCAGCGTTAAGGTGACTCAAAGGCTACGTCTAGACTGCAAGCCTTTCGAAAAAGCCTCTTTCGAAAAAGAGCGTCTAGACTGCAAGCAGTACTTTCGAAAAAGCAAGCCGCTTTTTTGAAAGAGAGCACCCAGGCAGTCTGGACGCTCTCTTTCGAAAAAGCCCTGTTTGCATTCAAGAACGTCTTTTTTCGAAAGAGCACTTTTGAAAAAAGGCGTTCTTCCTCGTGAAATGAGGTTTTCCGCCGTCGAAAGAAAAGCCGCGTTCTTTCGATTTAATTTTGAAAGAACGTGGCTGAAGTCTAGATGCAGGAGAAGTTTTTTTTGAAAAAAGGCTACTTTTTTCGAAAAAACCCTCGAGTCTGGACACAGCCAGAGTGGTGGAGTAGGAGGAACCACCAGCCCTGCTAAAGGCTACAGGGGGAGGTGAGGAGTTGAGCCGGGAGTGTTGGAGGGCTCTCTTACCTCCCCCCCCTCCCTTGGGGCAAGAGGGCTTCCTGGTCAGCTGTGACTGGCCTGGGGCTTCAGCCCAATATACACCCTCCTTTATGCTAAGGGCCAGGAAGGCCCAGGGACGAAAACTCTGCAGATGAGGGCCTTGCTGCAGCCCTCAAAGTGTGGGACAGGGGACAGAACAGTAGTCAGGGTCTCAGAAGGGAGACTGACCCTGCCACAGTAGTTTGATTTTAATGAGAATGCTTGCAACGTGAGTATGGGTGGTAGGATTTAGCTTATGTAACAAAAGCAAGGGTTACATTATGTCCCACTTGTCTGGGATGACAACCAGGGAGAGTACTTAGCTTAATTTGTTCAGCAATATATGGTGCAACTTCTAATCACAAATTATTTGCCTTGGACCAAAATAGAAATGGAGGCTCGATCTGATCAAAGTCTTGAACATGGAGTAGATTGGGGTACATAACCATCAAGATTCAGCCTGTTTTGAAGAAAAATGTCAAACCAATATGAATAATGATGTAGGGACTTGCCGCTCTAACAACCTATGTAATCTTGCAATGATGAATTATGCAATGATGACATTATGTTGATACCACTTTCTAAAGAAAAGATTGGTATGAAATTGCGTCAATGCATGGCATACCATTATATATTCTCTACTTAAATTAAATAATTATGGTATTTTGCCACTGGTATGAATTGGTCTTAAAAGACTGTTTAAAAACCATTCTCAATTATTTAGGTGCATAACATGAAGGAAAAAAGTACACTGAACTGAGGGGTGTAAAAATAATAGGTTCATATTTCCAGAGGAAGTACATCCATTTTCCCTCTGCATAATTCATACTAATGTGTTTCTTTTTGTAGAGTTTTTTTGGGGGGAGGCAGTTTCTGGTTAATTTTCTGTCTAGTGTTGAGGTAGTAAAAGCTATAATAGGCCGTGCATGTTTTGGACAGATTGTTGCAGTACACCATTCACAAACTAAACAAACACAGATGTCTGAATTTTGTAGTGTTAATAATCCATCCCAAAGGTGCTCAAGAAGGTTTGCTATTCACAACCCATTTTTTTTATTTTAATTTTCCCAGTCTTCAGTTATGTTTTATGCATATCCACATCTCAAGGTGAACCGAAGGAATTAATGCAACTTAACATGCAAACTAAATGGGTAATGTAATATGTAAATAAAGCCACATCATCCTGGTGAATCAAAGAGTGTAGGTGGAGCTTCATAAATACAAATGTGTAGGAGAAAATCGGCACAATTGACGCATGTGAGCTATCCAGCTGCTCCTGGAGGCTTAACCAACAGCTGTGACTTCAGTGGGACTAATTACAAGAGTGTTACCAGAATCAGTACATTAGAGATTGTGATGTGCTTAGAAATTAGTGATATGAGCCATGTAAGTGCCATAGTCTGTTGTGACCGAAAAAATAGTCAATGTTTGTGGCTCTCAGTTCTGGCATTCACTTCTAGTCCTGGAAGATCTTCAGATGCCAAACCTCAAAATCATAAGACTTTTTTATACACACAAATTATTTTTGATAGTTGCAAAATTCTTTCCCTGCAGGGTGTGGGGCCTGGTCAATGAAGAGTTGAATTGATATTCAGACACAAGGGCCTAATTGCCAGTGTAACAGTACTAACAAAAACCCCAAAGTTAAAGGAAAACTTCAATTTACATTGGTTGAGTTTACTGCTGCCTGAAATCATGGCTTTTCTTGCCAACAGTTGGGACTAGCACCAGCTTCTGGCTAAAAGTGCCAAGAATAGACCAATATAAGGCTCCTGATTTTACAGGTAGGGAAATACAAAAGAAAATCTCATTTAAAATATTCTCTAAAGCATTCCTACAATAGTTTCCCCTCCCCGCCCACAGGGTGTAGGGCATATATGTAATAAGATTGTATGGTGTAAAGTTTCATTAAATGTATTTGGAATAACTTGCACAACTCAATAACTTGACAAGTAAAACAGCAATTCCCAGTTCTTGGTCATGAAATCTTTATTCCACAGCTGTGTGTTTGTGTTTCTGGACTGTATGGAGAATGATATTGTTGTTTGTAGGAGCCCTGTTTTATTTGTTGCAAAAGTTGAAACACTACTCATGAAGGAAGCAAAACATAGTCCAACGTCTAAAGATGTTGAATTCCTGTCCTCAGATGATGGCGGCAATCTAATATCTGTGAAGCAATCTTCAAAACACTCCTTTGATATTGATCAGTCAGACCCAGATCCTCAAAGATATTTAGGTACCTAACTCCCATTGATTTCAAGAGGGAGTGCAACAGTTTTTGTGTCAAAACAGACAGAACTCATGTGCCCTGCAGATGTTTTCCTACTGCAAAAAAATACATGGTGGTTACGTCTAGACTGGCATGATTATCCGCAAATGCTTTTAACGAAAAAGTTTTTCGTTAACAGCATTTGCGGAAAAGAGCATCTAGATTGGCATGGACACTTTTCCGCAAAAGCACTTTTTGCGGAAAAGTGTCTGTGCCAATCTAGACGCGCTTTTGCGCAAAAAAGCCCCGATCGCCATTTTCGCGATTGGGGCTTTTTTGCACAAAACAAATCTGAGCTGTCTACACTGGTCCTTTTGCTCAAAAGCTTTACGCAAAAGGACTTTTGCCCGAACGGAAGCAGCATAGTATTTCTGCAAGAAGCACTGATTTCAGACAGTAGGAAGTCAGTGTTCTTGCGGAAATTCAAGCGGCCAGTGTAGACAGCTGGCAAGTTTTTCTGCTTTTGCGGAAAAACTTGCCAGTCTTGACGCAGCCGGTCAGACAGGCTCTGCACTTCTGCCTCTTGCTTACCAGGGGCTGATAGGGTACCAGAACACAGTAGCCAGTGCACCACTCACCAGCCCTAGTAGTCAGCAGCCAATAGAGGGAGAGCAGAGGCTCATTCCTCACTGTGCCCTGCTTGCAGGACCAGGTAAGGAAACAAGGGATACGTGATGGGGTCAGACAGGGCTGGGCACATGGGACTGCTAGGGTGGTCACACAGACTGGGGTTCACAAAGGCTAGAGGGAGGAACAATCTGCACCAGGGACTCAGTGGGAGTGGGGTTGTCAGGGATATATGGGGATGGATGTCTGAACTGAGGTGCAGGGACACATGGCAATGTGGGGCAGGAGGGAGTAGGGGCACCTAGGAATGGGGGATGAGTGGGGATGCAAAGCTTCATGGGAACAGGGCATAGGAGGACTGAGTTGGGTCCAGATGGGTAGGAGGAACATGGAAGGGTGTGCTGAATGGTGGTAGACACATGGCCCTGGGGGGACAGGAGGGCACAGGAACACATGGGGGAGGGGGAGATGTATCTGAGTGATTGAAAAAGACTGAGGTCAGTCAGGGGCTGTATGAGGGAAGCTCTCCAACTTACTAACAATCCCTCTTTCCATATCCCGCTCCCCCTCCCAAACACCCTGTAACATTTCAATCCACATCTAACACCCATCCAGGTTCATTTTCAGGATCCTTTCCACCAATTACTTCCCTCTCCCTCAGCTCCTCCATTGCACCTGACTACCTCAAACCTTTGCACTGTTTCTGAGGGGTGTGGCAAATAGAGTTCTGTATTGCAGTATAAATGAATCCTTACTCAGAGTTCTGTAAGGAATCTATTTGTCCAAAAACATTTCCTGAATCTTTTTTGGTGACTATATTGTTAAATATACTTGCTGAAGTGTGTTTTGAAATAAATACCAAAATAATTAAAACTGAAGTGATTAAATTGTGTTTTGACAAAATATGCAGAATTGTTTAAATTTTTTTGGCAGAGAATTTTTAATTTTAATTTTTGGTGAAGAATTTCCTCACTGAATAGCATGTATAGAAGGAAGCTGAACTGATGTTGAAGAGGCAACTTTAATTCTGGCATTTCCTAATTTTTAAGTATTTATTTAATTCTGTAACTTGAATGCTCCTTTAACATGTTTTTATGATACCTATATATCTAATTTTGACATGACTTGTATTATATTTTGCTGAGAGATCTGAGAGACATTTTTTTTCAAATATATATCAAACTTCATAGCTATCTTATTTAATTTCTATAAATCTCATCCAATGTCTTTAAGCAGAACTCCCTAGTGAAATCAGTGGGGAGTTATGCTTAAAATCAATACCAGAATACAGCTCTTACTGTCTTTTGCTGTGTCTCCATTTTCAGATCCCAACTCAGTTATACGTTTTCAATACATTTAGATGGCATTTGACATATATAAAACAATTTGGAGATTCACTACAATAATAAGAACATAGCACTATATAAATACTGAGGACCTGAAGTCAGATGTGGAATATAAAATGTTATGCTGTTCTATGATTTTACTAGCCAGTGTATTTTGTTCTTCACCATGGTTATTTTAATAGATATTTTAGTCAGAACAACACTGTATACACAATGCTGTATGGATTTACTGAGCAATAGCATTAGTTGTCAAAACAATAGACATACCGCAAATGTGAGTATGTACCATTGCAATGTCTGCTCTCAATATAATAGGTTTACTTTAGAGAGCAAAGAGCTATAATAAATGCCATTCATCAGACTGGTCTTTAGCTGTGTTCAATGAACTTTGGGGGAAAGATTTTAAGTGTCCTCATTTGTCTTGTATTGTGAAAGATCATTCCTGTTATTGCAGGAATACTTTATCCTGACATTTCAAGCAGGGACTGTCACCACCCTGCAGGGCTGAAGCACACAAAATCTATTAGCCTGGGCCCCCCAAGGCTCTGGTTTGTGAGGGGAATGTGGAGAATGTCTTTCTCCTCAGTCGGGGGCTGCCTCAGTGCTTTTCACTTGCGTGCAGCCCTCAACTGATTTTCTGTGGATCAGCAGCCCCTGACTAAAGATGTTAAATTGCAGTTAATTGACTAGTCGAGTAGTCGATGGAATTTCCATCAACTACTTGACTAGTCGACAGGCACTTCCACATTCCTCTTTTGAAATGGAGGAATGCGGAACATCACCTGCAGCCCGGGGCCAGCGGGGGCTCTTGGGCATATCAAAAGGCACAGTGCCCTCATGGAGCCTGGAGTCAGTAGGGGAGTCCCCAGCTGATCCTGGTTCTGCTGAAATGCCGATCAGTTGGGGAGTCCCCAGCTGACCCCAGGCTCCACGGCACTGCCCCTTTGAAATGCTGAGACGGTGTTTTAAAGTGACAGAGTGCTGCACACCTGAGCTCATGTTAGCATGGTGGTAAGGGTGAGGAAACAATTGTGAATATGTCCAGAGTTTGTATACATGTGTAGTCCCCTTACTAAAGGCGCCTCTGCTTATTTTCTGGGAAGACCCTGTGTTCTGCAATCCAGCCTCACAGACTGCAATTCCCATGAACCCTTGGGAAAAACAGGAAGGAAGTGACTCTTGTGTGGGCTGGAGTCTCCCAGCTGCATGGCTCAGTGCAGGGCTGGAGCCCTGTGGCAGCCTCCTGCCTTTAGGCTCCCAGGTTCTCTGGTCCAGGAGCATCCATGGTCCTGCTGGATGATGGACATTGCTGGACCAGAGTGTGCCAGTTTTTGGAGGTACAACCTGTACTGTTAGATTTATTTTAATTCTGAGTTTCCATGCTTTCTAATGTTTTTTGGGAAGTGTAATTTTAGTTTTGAATTTCCTGGCCTCTAGATGTTTGTGTCTTTTCAAATTAGAATATTCTATTAAGGATTCTCTCCCTTTTCTCCCATAATTATTTTTTTCTATGAGAGGAGGCAAAAGTGATATTAGGTAGGAGATGTTTAGAGCAAAAAGGTACTAAAAAAGAAAAATGTAAGAAAATGTCAGACTATTTAAGTGATAACTGGAGAAAGAAACTGATAGCGAAGGAAGAAAAAAGGCAGAATTTGGGAGGTGATTCTGTAAAATCATTTAGCTATATGACAATAAAAGAAAATAGGAGTGAAGGGTAAAAAAGATGAGACCTAAAAAGGAGTATATAGGGAGAAGGCCAGATGACAAGAAAGATCAGCTGGAAGCGCCGCGGGTCCGGCCAGGTCCTCCGCGGCTTTGCTCCCCGTCTCCCTGGTCTGCAGACCAGGGAGACGGGGAGCAAAGCCGCGGAGGACCTGGCCGGACCCGCGGCGCTTCCAGCTGATCTTTCTTGTCATCTGGCCTTCTCCCTATATACTCCTTTTTAGGTCTCATCTTTTTTACCCTTCACTCCTATTTTCTTTTATTGTCATATAGCTAAATGATTTTACAGAATCACCTCCC